TGGAAAATTATACTCATGATTTGGTTGGCAAACTACAATTTTCGTTGTTAGATCTGCAATTATGTTCCTTGCCATATTTTTTATTAATTATTAAAATCTAGTATCAAATGTTTGGTTTTGACCCTATGGAATTTATATTATAAATCGTGGAGCCTTTTGGTTTTTCCAAAATAATTTACAGCAGAAATAGCACTTATTATTTGGTATGGTTGTGTGGCATCCTTATTTGTGGTATTGTCTAGCATTTTTAGCATAATGTTACCGTGCATTCTACAGGAGGTGGTTTTCTATGAAGATGGTGAGCCTATAATTGATGGAGAACCTGGAGATTTGAAGGTTAGTTTTAACTACACTTGTGATACGGTTTTATTACCACTGCTATTTTGTTTTTGCGAGAAAAACAAAAAATAAATAATTTATCATGCCTTTGGCAGTTCCGAATTCGTACAGCACCACATGACATCTTCAGAAGAGAAGGCAATGACTTGCATACAACTGTCACCATAACACTGGTAAATTTTCCGCCCTTTTTCTCATTTGCTTTAAAGGTTATGAGACACAATTTCTGCTTTTAATGTGGAGTTGATTTTTTTTAACCTTTATTTTTCACCAGTTTCAAGCGCTTGTTGGTTTTGAGAAGAACATTGAGCATCTAGATGAGCATTTGGTGGACATTAGCTCGAAGGTAAGCTGCACTTATTCTTTAGGGCTTTTTTCAGTGTTTATTTATTTGATTCCGTGCATGAGAAGGTTATGAAGCGACAATGACATGTAAATTGTGTTCAGGGAATCACCAAACCCAAAGAAGTAAGAAGGTTCAAGGGGGAGGGAATGCCTTTGCATTTCAGCACAAAGAAGGGTAATCTTTATGTCACGTTTGAGGTTCTTTTCCCCACATCACTAACTGAAGACCAGAAGAAAAGGATCGAGGAAGTTCTTGGCTAGGGTGTAGAAATTAATTTCTTTCACGTCCTGAGTTCTTCAAATTGTAACATGGCATTATATAGAAAATCTGAAAGCTTGCCAAGGATTTTGTTTTTTATCCCTTGTTGCGGAGTAGCATACAAATTAGTAAGATTTTGCCCATCTAAGCTAAAATTGCCCCTGCTTCTTAAGAATTGTCACTGAGAACTGCAATAGAAGCAAAAATTAAAGAGGAATTAATTGCTCTAGGTGTTCATGTGCTCCACTTTTATTGGAAATGACTGCTTCATTTGCCTGATTTTGCTAATTGCGAGTGATTTACGATTTTACACAATTCGTTCTGCACTGCTAAGAATGGCATTCTGCTATCAATGGAGTCCCTAGCCCGTGTTATGTCCCCATGCTTCAAGGCCGTCCTGAAGTTGGCCTTGAGGAATGTATCAGAGCTACAACCTGTCTCCTGTTTGTTTAATGATTTGTTACCGAGGTTCAACAGAGACTCTTGAAAAATAAATTTCACATTAAAAGAAACTAAAAAGGTCATGGTTTTAATGTAACCTCACTTACTATTCATTCTCTTATGAATTTAAATAATAAATTTAAAAAAAAATTAATTTAAACTTTGAACTTTTATTTTGCACAATTCATCCATTTTGAGCCCAAATTAGCAATCATTATATATTCTTTTGAGAGGGAAAGTTGAGTTGAAAGACATAGGACTAAAGTGAGAAAAAAACAAGTAAAATAAGAGGGAAAGTTGAGTTGAAAAACATAGAACTAAAGTAAAAAAAAAAGCAAGTAAACTAGATAGTGGCTTTGAAAATTATTTAAAAAGTTTATTTTAGTTCTTTGTATTTTTAGTTATTAGGTGATCAGTACCATTAATTTTAGAAAATTCAATTTTAATATCAAATTTTATTTTTTTTATTTTTCAGTTATTTTTTTTAAAAAAAGATAAGGGCTATCAGATTCTAGTGTTGAGATAAAAGTTATCGTTGGCAATGATTTTGATCATTAACACAATTATTTTTTTTATATCAAATAGTTTCATAAAGGAATTTTAAATTATGTGTTTTTTTTTTATCTTAAAAGTGCCTAAAACAATAAATTTGAACTCAAGGAGATTTTATTTTAAGGCAGTTTTTTATGTTTATAAAGATTATAAATTAATTTAATAAGATTTTTAGGGTGTTTTCTATGCATTTTTATTAAAAAATATGTTAAAAATAAATTTTAACTTAAAAAAATAGAAACTTTATTTTTCTAACTATCATAATAATTATAACTTAGATAATTTTAGACGGCGTTCCATCTATTTTTTTTAAAAAAAAATTGTCATTCACTCCCATTAACTTAAAAAAACCTAAAGACCTGCACTCAAGAACTTTCTTCAAAGGTTAGGTGAATGGCTTGACTTAATAGACCTGTAGAGTTTGGCCTTGTTCTTGTTTTTGTGTTTTTATAAATACTTTTTATATGTCTTTTTTATAACAATTTTTAAATTTATATTTTAATTAATACTCATTCTTTGTTATTTGTATTTGTTTATTTAACCTTTTTAAAATAAAAATTATTTCTAATTAGAATTGATGTATTTAAGTTTTGTAAAGGTTAGGATAATTCATCTGTAATTTTTTTATATATATTTTATATAGATTAAATTTATTTTAAAAATAAAAATATTTATTTTTAAAAATATTTTAATATATGCCGCCTTGTATAAGTTTTTTTATTTTTTATTTTATTCAATGAATTTTATGTGTTTTTTGATTTTTATTAACATTAATTTATTTTAATAAAATAATTTCATTAAACATAACTTGATAAATGATCCATGTTGTAGTATTAGATATATTAATTCATATTTACCTCTTAGTTTTTTTCAATTTTATTTTTAATTATCATTAGTGTTTTTTTTTTTAGATGCAATGGTTCTTGTTTTATTTAATTAGTTGAGTATATAAGTTTTCTGATTTATATTTAGAAATTATTTTATGAAAAAACACACATTAAAAAATTCTACATACTCAACTTTTTTTTATCAGGTATTGATGTTTTTATTTTGATCATTATTTTTTTTTTTTTTATTTTGATCCTTTTATAAAAACTGTTGTTTTTAATCTCACCCTTCATTTATTCTTCATGTTTATGAAATAAAATTCAATTCATTTTTTTTCTATATTACTTCACTGCCTTCATCTCATTTCTTCAAATGTTTTTTTTAAAGGTGGATAAGTTTTTCGAAAAAATTAGTTTTAACATTAAATTTCTTCTCCTTAGAATTATAAATTAAAAGGGTTGATCTCTAGTTTATTTTTGTAGATTTTTAAAGATTGAATTTGATTTGTAATTAAATTTGTAATACTCCAAAGGATTTCAAATATAAAATTTCATTAAAATCTTTGAATTAAATTGAATTCAAAATGCTCCAAACACGTTAACTCTTTCTCCAATGAATCGTGATTAACTTTTCCATGTTACATATTTGTGCTTTGACCCAAGAAAACTGAAGAGAAAGAGAGGGAGGAAATTGAAAATATTTGTCCTCTATTTATTTTATGGGAAGTAATTTTGTAAAAATTACTTTTTAAATTTTTAAGTGTTTATTTACCATTAAAAAAATGGATCAATGAAAAATATATTTTTAGAAAAATTTAGCTTGGTTTTCAAAAAATATTTTCTTTTTAATTTGAATGGAAAATATTTTTTAGAAGTTATGGAAAAATTAAAAATATCTTGTTATTTATTGATTATATCAAATTTGATTCTCAATCTTTTTATTGTTATATATTTTGTTTTGAATTGTTTTTCAATTTCATCCCTTAAAATTTGATTTAATTTAATTTTTATATCAACCCTGATTTTTTTCATTATTATTGCTTTTCTCTTTTTATTTTTTTAATTGAAATTTTTTATCTATCATATTTAATCCTCATTCTTTTGATTTCTATTTATTTTTATTTGAAATAATTTATGAAATTATAGTTTTTTTTAATTTCATCTTCTTTCAACTTTTTTATCTGTTAAATTTATTCTTTTTTATTTTAGTTTTTATTTTAATTTCATCTTCTTTTAAATTTTTTATCTGTCAAATTTGTTCTTTATTATTTTATTATTTATTTATTTTATTTAAAATAATTTATAAAATATTTTTCCAATTTCATCCTCCAACTTTTATATCAATAAAATGCCATCCTTGTTCATTTAATAGACTTGAAAAAAAATTAAAAATTAGTAAGTTATTTGAGCTTATTTTTCATTATATACCCAAATATTAAAAAAAAAATAACTCATTTTTCATATATTATTAAATATTAAAAAATGATTTATTATCCATAAATTTATTTTTTTAAAAAAAAACTAATTTTTCCAGCAAATAAAAGATGCCTATAGATGGTGACTGACGGGAGTTGAATTGTGCAGGTGCTAAGCCTTGATTCTTTCAAATAGTGTTATTATGAACAAAAAATTTAATCGAGTATAAAATAATCTTTGAATTTTAGCCGTTGAAATATCAATTAAAATGAATTTAAGGCTCGAAATGGATTTATGGAAGCGTAGATGACTTTTTTTCTGTGCCCAAAGAAAGAAAACAACTTGGAGTAAGCATTTTTCCGAATCAAATCGTAGCCAGAATGAGTAATAACTAATGCGAAGAGGATTTAACAGTCCCTTTCTTAGTTCTTTTTTTGTGGTAGGGAACGAGTAATATTTAAAGTTCAGGACGTAGTTTCTGACTAGAGCGTGAAGGCCTAGCTCTCGTCCTTGTCATGCTCTCACCGCCTTGCAAGAATTCTATCACAGAGAAAAGGAATAGATTTATGACATGCCAGAAGTTGAAGGCCATGGCGATCCTGGCTAGGGTCGAAATTGTAGCATGCTGACATGGCATTTATTCCCCTGCAGACTCTTTGAACTTTTCACCATGCATATGAGATGTGCCTTGGAAAACAGTGCCTGTAAGCGTGTTGGAGAGGATTGACGTTTCCACCATCTAGTTCTTAACCTGTGGAGTTACTTGTTGCTGAATATATTGTGAATTTGATTTTGAAGTGCGCATATATAAATCAACCAAATGACATTCAATCTTCAACGCATATATAAGATAATATAAATTTCAACCAAGAATACTAGACCCAAGGAGATTCATATACGCTGGGAAATGAACAAAGATACTGTTTTCTGTCCAAAGTAACTCGGGGGAGCACAGTCTATGCACTTGCATAACAATCTGCATGGATCACTAGTTAAGATTCTTGATCCATAATTAAGAATGCGGCCACAAGGCTAGTTTACAACTCAAAGTCCACTTCGTGTGTCAACTATTAAAACTTGGGAAGGCATTCCTGAAGTTTGCAGCAATCCTTCTCGCAGATGCTTTGACGATTGTTCCAACATGAAATGATGGATTCCATCCTTTCAAATGGGTCTGCACCACCTTTGTTCGGAGAAACTTTTTAAACTCAGATTGATTTATCCAGTTCCACTATTTACAAACAGCTACCCGTCAATTATTCCTATCCCATGTCACTCTGTTGACGCTAGCTTCTCTTCGTCTACCTCAAAAGCCTTCCTTGCTTGCTTTAGCTCCTCTTGCATAGACAGCAACTCTGTACAACGGTTGAGCTTCGGAGGATCCTGCAGGTCAAAGATTTGGTTTGGTCCAAGTACAAACATATTAAAGCTAGAACTATTATGACTGCATATGAAGTTTGTAGGACATATAGGGCAGGAAAAGCATGGCAGAGATGGCTTTCCGAGAGATCAATAAAGTTGCTCTTGAAAGCCAGGCGTTAATAGGAATAGCAGAGGTCAACTACTACATACAAGCAGTGATAAATCACCAGTATGTTGTGCTATTATGTACATGTGTTATAACAGTTAAAATCCACCAAGTCCTGCAGGGTTTGATCATGGGAGATGTTCTCCTCCGCCACTGCCCATCCTGCTATTTATATATATAGCATGGTTTTCCCTTTTTATTTCGGTGACACGGAACTAGGTAACTCTTGGTGTGTACCCGTTAACAACTTGCGCCCAGTTAACTCTTGACAGGCAAAAGAACAAGGAAAAAATATGATTCACAGACTTTCCTAAAACATGACAGATGCAAAATTCTTTGCTGAAAGTACCTTGCGAATTAGAAACAAAAAATCCTCAACTGATAGCTTTCCCCTCTTTGATCCGATTTCTTGGGCTTTATGTGCCTGCAAAAAAGAAGTTACATGTGGACATGATATTACGATAGCATCTTGCTAAAGGGGGGCAAAATTTCTAACCTAAACAGATGCTTACCATATCCGTAACATATTCCACAACAATATCCTCCACAAGTGCCACTGTCTCTGGGAGCGGCTGCTTAGGCAGCAGAAGATATGTAAGTATATTCAATTGCAGACCAAACTAACTGATTTTTACTCAAAGATGTTTGATATCAATGACAAGAGAGTTCCTCAGCAGTTATCCCACTATTATTGATGAGACTGTTATCTACTTGCAGCAAGTACGGAAAAGTCCTGCCCCTAATAAATAATCTCTCGAAAATGGTTATTTTAAGTTATTACTATTTAATGCAATGGATTCGTGAGCCTATCAAGCAATTACAAAAAGCCTCTAAGAAAGTTATTTTAACCAGATCCCCCACTCCTTTAAGTGACAGATTGATTATGCTGCAACTCATACGTTCGAGTACATTGCCTTCAAAGGTCCAGGTTGGTTTAAAACACTTTTCTTCCAAAATGTTGTGTGCTACCATATGGTAATTTGAGAGAGGATGGAGTACTTTTACAAACTTGTCATGTTAGATTCAGGAGAGTGCATTGCAAGTTATATAGCCAGTAGATCATCACTGAACAATTTTAGCAAAATGCAGAACAATACTAAACAGTTATCGCTCTGTTGTTACCTGGAGAAAACCTCATTCCATCAATGAAAACTATATTACGGTGATAAGATAGCAACACTTACATTTGGATCATCGCCAAAACCATACATCATGTGCTGCACTGTGAGAAAAAGAGTATAGAAAATTAACAAAAAATCCATGAGAAAACTTGCATCAAGGAAGTCATTTCACTCGCTTACAGTCTTTCTGAAACACCCCCCGCTTTCTCTTAAATGAAGTTTCCGAAGGCTGTGAAGAAGACCCAGCTTTCGATTTCGATGAGGATCCGGTAGAGGAGCTGTTCATCTTCTATCCAAGTAATTTCCTATCAAATGTCTCAGAGTTTATCTTCAATGACCAATCAGATTTATGCTGCAAGTATGCAAAAACAATAAGGCATAGGCACACGAGAGACATGTCGCCGTCTAACATAATATAACCTAATTTAACGTTGTTGAAAGAGGAACGCTAGGGGCAGTGATTAGGACAACCGCTAGTATCACTCGCTTTAAGAATAAAAAAACTCATCGACAACAATTTCACTGGGAACCAGCTTGCGACGCTCAGAACCCAGTTGTAGTGGCCTTTTTTTGGTTCCATTTTTGAATAGTGAAATCTTAGTGATTGCTTTAAAAACTTGTAGAACCAGTGAGAATACAAAGAGCAGCAAACTTTCACCTCCAGCTGCAGAATCTCCCCTCATGAACTAGTTTAAGCATATGATCGAACACTTAAAGGGCTTTTTAAGAAGCAAGGTTTAAATCAATATTGCATTGCAACCCTATTAGAAAAAACAGAAAACAAAGATCGGACCTGAACAGCAATAGTTAAGGTAGAAAAGAGTGACCCATCTATCCATTCACAGATATATGAATCAGGCTAATTAAATTTATTTTAAACTTAGAAAAGCCTCAATCAAACACTGCACATAAACCCCAAATATCAAACTAGGATAACACAAGATTAAACTTATTAATTACTTTTTAATGAAGAAAGTATACCTCAACAAAATGGGATTTTCAAAGATCTTAAAAGAAACCCTCTCGAGAAAAAACAAGATTATAACGGAGAGATTTTGAGGTCCGAGACGACAGCTGCTAACCAAGTGTGGAGCCAGATAGGAGAAAACGAAAGAGGATAGGAATGACGAATTTTTATCAGTAAACAGTTTGTATGGGTCCACCTAATTAATGGCAGTGAAAAAAAAAAAAAAAACCTCAAGGCTACTAGAATTGTCATATACTGGGATGGTAATTTATTACTAACCAAATATATATCCATTCGAACCATATGAATGGGTTTTTTTTATAGGTAGTTTATTCGATGGACATTGAATATTGAGTATGGTATCGAACTATAGATGTTATTAAATTTTATCTGAAATTAGATATTATGTATATTAATATTTACATTGTTCTCAATGTGTGTAGTATTTATAATACATATAAATATTATTTCATTTTACATTGTATAGTAAGCAATACTTATATAATAATCTTATTAAACAAATTGAATTAACTTGGATTAATTTATCAAACGCATAAATAAGATCACAAAATTGTGATAGTGCTATAAAAAATATTAAAAAATTTACAAAGCTCAATTTAAAAATATAAAAAGGATAAAAAAAATAAAAAAAATAAGATCAATTCGAATATATATGTCAAATCCATAACTTGGATAATAAATTAGAATAATAAATAAATACAAAAATAACAAATCTTAATTTCCAACCATCCAAATTTAAAGCATAAAATAAAATAAAAATAATTTAACTTGAGTTAACTCGATAAACCTCGTCTTAAGTTATAAGATCAAGATAAATTTATAAAAAAAAATTAAAAAACTCTACTTTTAAAAAATCTAATATTAAAATTTAAATTAAAAAAGAAAAAAACTAAACTCACAATATTAATATATAACCTAGCAAAAAAATAATTACAAAACATAATTTATAAAATAATTAAATATTAAATGATGAAATTATAAAAATAAAATAAAAATTAAATTATTAAATGATGAATTAAATAAAAACTAAAAAAATATTATTATAGTGAATAATATTTTATAAGTGTGATTATAGTTCGCTATAATACCATTTATTTTTTTGGGCCAATAATAATATAATTATATATATATTTTTTATTTATTTTTTAATTTAATGATTTAATTTTTTATATTCATCAATCACTTTTTTAATATTTATTGGTGTATATAATTATCAAATAATTTCGTTAAACACAGGAGTCAAGTTTACAAATTATATTTAAAATCTCTCATAATTAAAAAAGAATACTTAACAACGCTCATCTACCCTTTTTTTTCACGTTAAAATTAACTGTGACATGACCGAGTCACGGACACCGGGCACCGGTTTATATCCAAATTACAATGGAATTACCGTGTAGAAGTCACATCAGAATTGATAACACCCTTCTATCTATATATATATTTTAAGATTTCTTTTAATAAAATTGATAAAACCGGTTACTCAAACTCTAGACGGTCCAATCTCGATCAGGGCGATGGAACACGTGTTCTTCACGTGGAGGCTCCCACAAATTCCCCCGCTCCCGCCAGGGCACCAGAATTAAACAAAAAAATGAAATCTAAAATTCCCTCCCTAAAACAGCCCCCACCCCCACTTGATAATATTTCTCCACTCTTCTTCCTCAACAAGCTTTGCCTACAATTCACACAGTACAGAAACCTGTCTCTATCTCTATCTCTATTTTCCTCTCTTCTCTTTTGACCTGAGAGTCACTTCCTAGTCTTATGATAACACGCTCTTCTTTCCTCTCTCCTTGTACAATAAAATCTTCATTTCCCCTAATTTTATTAAATAAAAATCGAATCGAATCGAATTCAACTGGATTCAATGCTGGAAACAGATTCTCCTTCCAAAACGTTTCTCGGAGTTCGTTTCGTTCTCGTTGGTTTTGATCCCGTCAACAAATCCAAGGTTCTTCCTCTCTCTCTCACTCTTTGAAATTATGGTTACTTCTTTTAACTGATTCAAAGGAAAATAGAAGAGAGTAATTTGTAATATTTGAAATGTGTTGCAGGTTAAATCAAAGCTTGTTGGCGGCGGCGGCATCGATGCTGTTCAGCATGGCGAGAATTGCACTCACGTCATTGTCGATAAAATTGTTTATGTGAGTCCTTAATAATTGTTATTTTCGATTTTTTTTTTAACTGCTAAATTAGTTACTAGAATTTTTATCCAGCCAAGAACATTTTCACTGTTTTCTTTATCTCATTTTAAAAAAATGTATTTCTTTATTTATTTTTATATTGTTTAAATGTGTCGTAGGATGATCCTGTATGTGTTGGTGCAAGAAATGATGGAAAGACAGTTGTGACAGGATTATGGGTTGATCATAGTTTTGATATTGGGATGCCTGTTGATACCACTTCTGTGAGTTTTTTTTTCCTATAATTTTGTTTTCAATCAAGGCCCAAAATTAAAGCTGCATGTCTTCGATTTTCTTAGTACCTTTTTTTTCACCCTGTGATATTAATGATTAACTTTTTTCACAATAGATTATGTATCGACCGCTTAGAGATTTGAATGGAATTCCGGGTGCCAAGAATTTAATTATGTGCTTGACTGGGTACCAACGCCAAGATCGAGATGACATTATGGTATGCGTTGCTCATTTTGTTAGCTTTCATGAGCATTTGGGAATGAAATGAAATCTTTACGGGTTCTCGGTTTTTCGTTCTCAGACTATGGTTGGTTTGATGGGGGCACAGTTTTCCAAGCCACTGGTGGCTAACAAAGTTACTCATCTCATCTGCTACAAATTTGAAGGTGTGCTTTTTTATCTTCGCACAGTGAACACCATTATGAATGAACTTGGACTACGGTTCTTGTTGCATGTCTATAAGCAGTTCCTCTTTTACTTGTTTTAGTCTGCTTTTGTTTAATACCAAAAGCAAACCAAGCATGACAAGCTTGCTGTACTCACTGCATAGCATATAGCATGTTTTTTCTGCTGGTTGTTGGACGTATGTTTTAAAGGCAAAATAGTTTTGGACTGAGGCTTAGGTGAGTTGAATATGCAGTCATCATGGACTGGCCAGATATGCACATTATCATCTTCCCATAGCAGACGAAAGATATTACCTCTACAAAGGTACACTGGATGGCAAAATCATTAAACTGTCAAAATGAAAATATTTTGCCTATGAAATTTTGGTTAAACTTAGCTTTATGAAATTTCTCTCTTCAATACATTGGATATTGTGCTCTTAACAATATTGAATTTTTTCCCTCATGTCCCATCCGTGCTGTTGATTTATTTTTCTACCTTCTGTTCATATTTGATGTTGATCAAATCTGCAGCAACTTAATCTACCAAGGTAGTTTTTTTGCCAAGAAAGTTACATTTTTCTTGAGCAGTGGACGATAGTTTTTTTTTTTCTTTTTTTCCTGGGGCGTGGGGGGTGGGGGAAGGGGGGGGGGGGTTGTGTGCTTGCATTTGTGTGGAGAACATAATCTTACTACCACTTGCTGTTATTTTATCATTTGCTCCTATGGAGCTTTTCATAACTTGTTCTGGCATAGTGCGAGTGCCTAGCTAGACTAGATTTTTAATTAGATTCTCACTTTGTCTAGGTGAAAAGTATCTGCTTGCCAGTAAAATGAAGAAGATAAAGCTTGTTAATCATCGTTGGTTGGAAGAAAGGTGAGTGTTCTTTATATATATATATATATATATATATATATATGTTTTCTCAAGGATAAACCTCTGAGTTGGTTTTTTTGTTCTTTACACTTTGAAATAGATAAGTATCTCACATATTGAATGAATATCCTTCTGCAGCTTAAGAAATTGGGAGCTTCTTCCAGAAGACAATTATAGCAAGAGGTGAGGCATTCTAACTTGTTGGGTTAGAAGCATTCGACGTGATAAATTCAACATCACTATTTACTCCTTAACAATAACTGGTGCATAACTGCATATCGAGAGAGAAGAAACCTTGTATTGTTTTAGCCCATCTTATGGAGTTTGAATTCTATTGAGTGACATGGATGATGCATTGAGATTGTCTGATGTACTTTGTTTCTTTGATCAGATATTTCTTAACTTCAGAATTACGAGTAGAAAGTGATGGCATGATTCTTTGTTTCATTTTATGGACACTGTTACTTGACCTTTAAGTGCTCCCTACATCCCAGGATGTTGAGTTTGGAGTTACTTATCACATATCAATGCTTGTACCTTATGACTATATTGTTTCCAATATTGAATGGCTGGCTATTCATCGGTTGAGATCTTTCACTCGTTATATGTTTGCACAAAATAAGCATCTCAATGAATTGCATTAGTAGAAACAAATAGATTTATTACCTTTCTGTTTCCAAAAGAAAGAAAGAAAGCAAGAAATAGATAGGTGATGCATTCATTAGGAAGCTGAGGTTTTCTAATCTTTGGTGGTTTGCTTAACTATTGTTTCATATACAAACACTTGGATCTAGTGTACATCCTGCTTAACTATTGCTCTGTTTGAATAGTGGCTATGAGTTGGAAATGCTGGAAGCTGAGGCAAAAGACTCTGAGGATGAAGCTGAAGGCACCAGTGTGAAGCAACCAACTTATGAAAATGTGGATAAGAGTCCTCAGAATTTAAAAGCTGGAACATTTAAGGCTTGTGAAATGCCCAAAACTGGGGAAGTGCAGAAAATATCACATGATTTGAGTGAGCCTGAAGGTCTATCAAGCGTTGTCAATGCTAAAGATATCTTAGTAACTCCGGGCAAAAGGAGCAGAGATGATCATGCTTCAGGCTTTGATAATATTTGCATTTCTGAGGTGCCTGTCCATCTGGATGTTGGTGGCTTCAAAGGTGCCACTTCCAATGACTTACCTGATGCACAAGCGAGAACTCCTATTTCTACAAGAAGTAAAGACTTGGAGTTTATTTCTAGAAGTGTTGAAAGGCCTACTCACTCTGATGCGAAGTATAGCACTACAAGCTACACAAGGAGAACTCCACAAATATCCCCATCATCAATCTTCTATGGGAACTCGGGTAATATCAGAGGCTCTCCTAAAGTTCTCTTAGGTGAATCCATCAACATGTCTTCTGCCAAAGCAGAATATGCAAAGGACATAACAAGCCCTTCTTGTGCTGAAATTCCTCGAAAAGAAATTGAATTACTTTATGAAGAAGCACCAGGAAGTAAGAAGCAAAAGACAGATGTTTCGTGTTCTAGCTCTAAATCACAGAAGATGAATCATGATGCACAGGCATATGTCACAGGGAGTCCATCAGCTGCTTACACAAGTCAAGGTATAGAACCAACATCTTTGGTGGATGGTCCGTCTAGGATTAATAAACGTTCTCCCCTCAGCAATGATGGTCACTCTGTGCATGATATGATTGGTATGAATGCACAGCGGAACCCACATACCAATTTTTCAACAGCCAAGTCATCAAAATTTAGAAGGAACCCGTTCACAGATCATGCTTTCCTTGAAAATATGATCTTGGAAACTGGAGAAAATGAGAACACAAATAAGAATACACCACAACCATCCTTCAGGGACTTGACAAAGGACATCTTGGTCAGTGGGCATGATAGTGGAGGTTTTGTTGTTGAAAGATCTGAACAGGTGATTGCAGAAGCAGGGGAACCACAAAATTGGCAACAGGATGGAGGGGGTCCGTTTACACATAATAAGGGATTAGAGACAGATAAATCTGACATGCTTTCTAATTTGAACGTGCCTCAGGCAGGAAATGATAACTCCATTACCAAGGCAGCTAGGAAGAAGATGATTGCCAAGAAGACTTTGGGTTCTAGACCAAAACTGACAAGCAATGTGAGCCAGAAAGGTTCCATATACTTAAATGTAACCGCTGCTCAAAATGATCCTACAGTTGGAATGGCTAAGGGGAGAGTGGAGAGCAGGAGTCCCACTGATGCCACCGAGCTAGAGATATCCCCTGCAACTGTCAATGCTGCAGAAGCACGAGTGATGGAGACAGAATGTGCCACAAAATTGGGGAATAGGTTGGGAGATAATGCTGTGGATAAGATTGGTTTTGCGGATGATGAAACTGAGGCTCCAGAGGAGGAAGATGAATGTGAAATTTTGCACAATGATGAGCAGATTGATTTGTCAAATAAAGCAGATAACAAGACAGGAATGAAATTGGAAGCAGATAATTCTGCAGCTAACATGTGTGATGGTCCAGCAGAAGGAAATAATGCAATTGAAATACAAAAGAGAGATGGATCAACCTTGAAAGAAGGTTTTGTAAAAGGAAAAGGAAGCAGAAGCAAGAAACAGCCTTCTGGTAAGACGAAGACCAAGACTGTTACTTCGGTTGTTAAAAAAGCTGAGTCTAAGAAAGTTCTAGACGTGGAAGAGAATCTTAATGGAAAGAACATTGAGAAGAATGCTGCAGAAAAGGAAAGCACTGAGCCATGTCCTGCAGGTCAAGCTAAAAGTAAAATTGTATCTAGGAAAAAGTCCAAGAACCCCGTTGAAGCTAAGAAGGAGAATAAGCCTGCTGTTGATGGAGATCAACATGCAAGTCTAGATGATAAACATGTTGGGGAAACAGCTGCTAATGCTAGTAAAACATCAATGAAGTTTAATCATAAGGTTAGTAAAAGTAATCCTGGTTCTACACCAGGAAGAGAAGTTACAAAGCAACTGAAAACTGAACCGCGATGGTTTATATTGAGTGGGAATAGGATGCAAAGAAAAGAGCACCAGCAAGTTATTAGGCTTTTGAAAGGAAAATTCTGCAGAGATTCTCATCAATGGTCATATCAGGCAACACACTTCATAGCTCCAGACCCAATTCGCAGGACAGAGAAATTTTTTGCTGCTGCAGCATCTGGAAGGTGCAGTTCATTGTGCTTAATGCCTGAAGTTTGAGTTTTGAAACTAATATTTAAGAAAACCTCTATCAAGATTCTTATCTCTGACATATGCGATCCATTTTTCTGGTTCTAAACTATGTAATTCCTCTCTTTTCTTCTGACAATTTTTTTTATATATGCATATATTTTTTTTTCCTGTTAAGATGAAAAGTCGCTGAATGAGTTTTGTTATGGACTATCTATAATTGTATGAGCCATCTGTCCAAACTGATAGATATCCATTTAATGCAGGTGGATTCTTAGGTCGGATTATCTAACTGCTTGTAGTCAGGCAGGGAGGTTCTTGGCAGAGGAATCTTATGAATGGCACAAGAATAGCCTTAGCGAAGATGGAACAATTAATTTAGAAGCTCCAAGGAAGTGGCGGCTGTTAAGGGAGAGAACAGGTCATGGAGCCTTCTATGGAATGCATATTATCATTTACGGAGAATGCATTACACCACCTTTGGTATGTTTTCTTAACTGCTCTTTTTCCAACACATGCTGCATAAGCTTTCTTTCTTAGGGTCTTGGATTTCCCTGAACGATACTGATCGGCTGTTTATAATTTTTAGTTGATCAATTATCTAATGTCTATGATTTGACACGGTTTGCATCTTCCTGTTCAACAAACAGGATACTCTGAAACGAGTAGTGAAGGCGGGGGATGGTACCATCTTAGCAACCTCTCCTCCTTACACCCGCTTTCTTACATCTGGAGTTGACTATGCTATTGTCAGCCCTGGCATAACACGTGTAGATATGTGGGTTCAAGAGTTCTTAAGACATAAGATACCCTGCATTGTTGCTGATTACTTGGTGGAGTATGTCTGCAAGCCTGGGTACTCCCTTGAGAGACATGTACTGTACAATACCAATGACTGGGCGGAGAAGTCATTTTCCAACCTTTCAAGCAAGGCGGAAGAGATTGTTGAGGATTGTGATAGTGGTGATGATATAGCCTGTGAAGTTTGTGGTTCTCGAGATAGAGGAGAAGTTATGCTGATATGCAGCGATGAAAGTGGTTCTGTTGGATGTGGGATTGGGATGCATATAGACTGCTGCGATCCTCCACTTGAAGGTATACCAGAGGAGGATTGGTTTTGTCCGAAGTGTAGCGGAAGCAGTAAGAGCACCAGCACTAGGAAGAGAAGGATGAAAAAGGCACTTCACTAAAGGCCAATTGTTCTTTAACATAGAAGATGTCAGCATTTAACGTAGTAGATTTGTATAACAACCTTCTTAGAATGGCAAGGTGACTAGAGGACATATCGAACTTCCGTTCAAGACATGATGTATTTATTAAGAAATTGATTCTTTGTAGGTCGCAAGACATGTTTTATTTTATATTCGTCTAGATATTATTCTTGATGCAAACAAATTTCATGAGTAATCCCTGTTGGTGATCAGGATATCTACAAGATTGATCCTGTAATTGGTAAAGGAGTTTGGGCAAGACATTGCAAACTGTGCGGAGATACGCATCATTTGCTATTAATGGACGCATCACTGTGATCCTGTATCTTCTCTTTCAATTGACATGCATTTTGATTTCTGAGTTTTTGTCATCTTGTTGAACTGCCAAATGACAGTCTTCGTACATGTACTTGAGGGTTGCAAGTTCATCTTTCTCGATTTCACCATGACAAGAGGCCTGTTTCAAGCTCTGCCCCCTTTTTTGTTCAAGTTCTTTTCCATGTCAAGCTTTGAACTCCACGAATCAATTCCAAAGCCCTTTGCTTTGATAGAAGCGCCCATAACTCTTAACGTGCAGAACCATTATTTTTTATGGGCTTGGGTCTTACTGTGATCTAAATTTAGCCACATATCTGGCCCATCTAGGGAAGTTTGCTGGGCCTATTATGCTATATTGCTTAGAGAGTTAAATCCCTTCATCCACCATTCCCTGCAAAATTCTTCTTAAAAAAGTGGGAAAAGGGAAAGGGAAATTTGAGAATTAAAAGACACTGCACCTTGATTGGGATTTGGGCTGCGCCTAATTGGGGACATGTCATTTGAAAAGCAGAGTAGTACTTCGCCATAAACCTTTGCTGTGACTTCAAGCTTTGCTAATTTTTGGAACCGCACGCTACAAAGAGAAAAATAGTATTAAAAAAATAAAAATCGAACAAAAGTTTTATACTTGGCTTAAAACACACTCTATCGATAATAAAGGTGTTCTTATAGTGGAGGTCAAACGCTAGTTTCACCACACAATGTGTTGTTGTATGGTAGTTGATTGATAAATCATGATTAGACTAGAATTTGTTGCAGGTGATTAGACATTTAATACCACACTAAAAATAATAATGGAAAGAAGAGAAAAACGTTACTACATTAATATAACTAGAAAATTTAATATTTCTTTAAAAGTGTTTTTTTAAATATTTTTTTATGTTTTAAATTAATCTTTTAATATTTTTAAATTATTTTGATGTACTAATATTTAAAATATTATTTTTATTTTAAATAAAAATTATTTTAAAAAATTACTTTTAATACAATTCTAAATAACACTTTAAAGTAAAACAATCTATTGTTTCATGCCTCGTGCCATCTTCCTATGTATTGAAAAAGTTGCTACATGAACGCATATTCATAAAATGTGGCTACTTTGCTTGTTTTATGAAGCCCATGTCATGGCTATCATTAGTTAGCGCGCGCTGAGATAACTTTTTTTAAAAAAAAAAAAAACAAAGATTTGAGGACAATTTTTTTAAAATCCAATGAAAATAAGATTAGTATAAAAAAACAAAAGACTGAATTTATAAAATAAAGTTGTTGAAGACTTTAAGATTTATTTAACATAATAAAATGCATTACCAAATATCTCAATCAAACCTAAAAAATTACAAGTAAAAGTTATATATAGGAGCAAGAGAGCCTGGGTGCGAACAAAATCATTCAATCTTAATATGTATTCTATAGATTTTTTGGATAACTCAATTAAAATTTATTTTTTAAAATTTACTTTTAAAACAACAAAAATAATACAAAAATAATAAAAATTTGAATTTAAAATAAAAAAATCAAAATTTAAAAAACAGCACTCCAAATATCTATAAACAAACAAGCCTTGGTTTCCCACTCTGACAGGGAAGAGAAGGAAAAAAGAGAAGAGGGGAGATCATTGCACATGATAGTATCACATGGCGCCCCTGACATCATCATATCTGGCCACGACCTCTCCTCTTTCCAATGTTCCCAGCATTCAAACATCACGTGTTTATTCTAGCTAAACCCTTCCTTTTCCAGGCTAATCCCATATTCAACCCACTCACTCTTCATACTCTCCCTTTTACCCTCAAGACATTCCCCTCCTTTGCCCCCAAAGACACCCGACATGAGAGGGCGCTGTAGTCTTTATACAAGATATCATGAATTTAATTTGTACTACTTGTGTACAGCTTGTGGGGGGTTAAGGTTTAGAAAAACATCTCATGCCAGAGACTAGAGAGACGCACCACTGTCTCTGACGACTTTAATTATTTAATCATTAAAATACATTTTAAAAAAAATAAAAGATGGAATGGGCACCTTGTGCGGATTCGTGCAGAACCCCTTTCTTTCGCCATAAGCAAATAAATAATGTTTGAAATGAGTTAGAAAAGAATTGTATATTTTGCATAATAGAAACAAAAATTGAATATTGCAGATAACATGTCAGAGGAGCATCCGAGAATTGCAAGGAATTGTTTTTTATAAAAAAAAGCATGGCTTGCTAAAAGGTTTATTATGCATTGCTATACTCTATACCCGAGGCAGAATTAAATACTATGTAATATTTTTTAATATATAACATTCATTAAATAACAATTGTTTTATTATAAATGATGAGTACTACTAAAAATTTGTTAGATTTATTTTTTATTACGGGAAGCTCGGGGAGCAATATCTGTTATCTTGTGAAGGTGTTGATGAAATAACATATATCCTAACCATTAATAAGCTAGATTCGTGTCGTGTTAAGCTTTAGAAGATCGGTCATTTGTAAAGAGCGTTAGCGAACGATGAGATCATTTATAATGAATAAAGATATAAAGTTAGAGAGATAAACTCATCCAATAGTATTTTAAACTCGTTTACAAGCTAGGGCAGTTCTGATGCTGACTATTATATATGTGATGCATGCTTGTTTTTAAGTTAGACATGTTAGGGTAGTGCAATCTCGTTTATGAGTGCTCAGATATTTTTAGGAGATGTGATGATTTTTAGATATTGTTAAATTGTATACTTTAATGTTTTAGACAAAATTACAAATTTAATAAAATGTTAGGTTAGTTTTTATTATATTTAATTATAAAATATGAATTGTGTTGAAAAGATAAATAGTAAATTATGTTTATAAATTGTGATTATTGTTAAGTTGGTTTTCTTTGTGAGAGAGTGGAAAACACTATCACCACCATTTTTTTTATGAGTGGAAGATAAGGTTTGCGACTTACCTAGATACTTTTTTGGAACATGGTTTTCTGCCAAATTTCTGAGAACCGTGCTAATGCAAAAAAAAAAAAAAAAAAAAAAAAAAAGAACCTGCCAATTAATGGCCATTTCCCTGCCTTCGCTGCCCTAGCTACCTTCATAGTTCTAGCCACCATTTGTACACATGGCGTTTATGTGTAAGTCACGCGAAGGAGCTTTACTGATACTGAATAATCACACCCTTTTTGCTATCATCCATTTTAATTACAGGTAGAAGAAGTGTCATGAAATTCATTTGGATACATCATATACTGTAGGTTCAGAGCACGTTCTGCACATCCCATGCAATAACATGCATGAAATAATTGAGACTTCACTAAGAGTTTATGAGCGAAAGAGAAGTAGCCAGCAATGCTGGATTTAAATCGGATTTGACTAATTGATTACATATTGCAGTGGTTGAAATCATAGCGATTATTTTGGACGAGGGGTTAACTTTGTAAGGGTGGGAGGATTAAAGTTGTTGAGTAGCGTGGAAGGACGAAAGGGCAAAGCCAATTTGTCAGGATAAAAGAAGTTCTCAGATCACTTGCAAGGAAAGACAGAGAGCACTTTTAACAAGTTAGACTATTTGAGTGCTTTGGCAGGTTTGGGAGCTCTTTTTTTCTTCTGCTAGAAAGTGAACAGAGGGAATATCACAGATATAATGCGCTGACTTCTGCCATTTGTGTTCATGGTTAACAAGGCAGACATTAAATTAATATGGTCATCCAGCTAATATGATGTTTAATTTTGTTCCTCTCTCTTTTCTTGGTCATGATTTGGCCATGAAATATTTCTTCGTCAATAATTTAGGGCAATCGTCGTTCAAATTTAGAGCGGACAGTCTTTCCTAATCTTAAACTTCACTCATCTTTGGTATGAACGAGATTAGAAAGATATTTGATTATTTAGTTGTCAGTTCAAATAATAATATTGCTAATCTGTTTTCTTAATCTTAAATATTTCCCACTTTAAGAACAACCTATAGTAGTGGCAATAAGTACTTGAATGGCAGTAACAGCTACGAGAAATGTTTTAACCCAGTATTTCTTTGGGAATTTTCTTCCCTCATGCGCTAGTTTAGTAAGAAAAAAACAGTTATTGAGCTGGTATGGCGAGAAATTACTGTATTTCTTTGGACGAAATAGGAATCCAAACATAATGATGCCCCATTTTCATGTAACATAAATCTCAAGCCATTTCAGCAGATCAACAAGTTACTCTTGACATGATCCAAGGCTTGTTCATAGCATATAATCGAAACATAAAAATTATTAATTTGATATTTTTTTATAATTGAAAAGAGCTTAGCCAACATGCCTTAAATTTAACTGACAGCAACCATCTTAAAAGTCCACACCTCGCAGAGACATAAAGGGCGAATCACCATCATCGCTCCACATTTTGCTTCAGCCAGTCATTATTTGTATACTTTTGATACAAATGCGTGGAAACCAGAGCCCAAGGCAGGAATTATGCAAAGTGTACGTTGAATTGACATATCCTTTCCAAGCCAACTTGTTTTTCTTCCCTTGAGTGTTGATGAGCCCTCTCTTTTGTTGCGTCAGCCAGTCCTGAAAAAAACCTGACAGACCCTTTTCCGTTAGGAGATACTTGACATGGCCCCTTTTCTGCTGCAGTTTCCACCATCAGGATAGGGCCATGACTTTATAATAAGAAGCATTAAAAGCCATAAAACTCACAAAGGGTGCTCCAAAACCAATAGGATTATAGCACACACTCCTTGGTTACAGGGTTTTTTTTTTTTCACCAACCCAATGGATAAAGGAAAACCTTTTGTGGCATTAGCAAGTTAATGAAATCTAGTGCAATGTCAGAGGTGTCAGTTTATGGATAAACTAACAAGGGAAAATTAAATGCAACAGATCAGACACCAGAG